ACTCTTTCCAGTATTTGTCTTCACTGCATTTTCCTGTCTGGCTTGGTTTTCTAGAGAGGTCCCAAAACTTGAAAGATGCACAGACAAAACAGTTGCAGTTGAAAGGTTTTTTTTCAAGACTTAACTGCATTTTAAGCTGATGCCACTTTCCTTTTTAATTTAAAACATGTAATTTTTGCTGTGAACAGCACAAAGGATGACACGATATCAAAAAATCGCAATTTTAAATCCTGAATTATCACATATGAGAGGTAGTATGTACTCTTACACCTTCAGCATTGTATACCTGAAGATCAGAAAGCACCTCTGAAACAATGTTTTCTCCATGTGCTGAGTATAATGCTTTCTCTGAACATTGCCAAACTCCAAAAACCCTCTCCCAAGAGAGCCCCGTGAAGTAAGACGTTTCTGTTTTGTAAGAGGGGGAACCAATGCAGCAAGGTCACAGGCAAGGTTGATAACAGAGCAGGGAATGAAGACTGATTGAAATTCTTACTGCAGTCTTCTAACCTTTAGTTACACTCCTCCTGTGCTCCTTTAATTATGTAACTTGACAAAATTAAGGGGTGGAGGACAGAAAAGGAATTAATCTATTTACTGTCTGCCTAGACTCTTAAATGTTATGTTGAAATAAATATCTGGACTCTATCCTTTTACCTCATAAAGTAGTTTTTGTCCCTTTGGAGTTGCTCAAACCTGTGTTAAATGCAGTGTTAACTTTTAATCTGTGCTGCTTGGAAGTATTTAGTAGCTCGTTCACTTGTTTAACAGTACATTCATACAGTAGCTGTGTCTGCCTCCATAGCTCTGAGGCAGTTAGATCTTTATTATGGGTTTTCGCAGTTGCCAGAAGAAAAAACCAACAAAACAACCTCCCTTCACACCCTTAAATTATGAATGGCAAAGCTCTTACCACTCCTGGAAACGTGACTTGTGCAGTGTTGAATTTGTCAATAAGTCTAACATGGAACATATTCGTTTGGAGTCCCCTGTGAAATCTGAAACACTTCTAGTATAAGAAAAGTAATTTCTCGTATACTAGAGAATCTGTATGAAGCACATAGTTCAGGCATGTGTTCTGCTAAGGTAAATTGTCCATGACCTTTGCAGCTCTGCCTGCGTGTGAGGGACAGAATTGCCTGGTTTATCCCCATCTGTCCCTTTCCTAGCTGTTCCCATTGCAGGACCTGAGGCCGCAGCAGCAGTGCAGGATACAAGCCTGACACACTCTGGTAATTTGCCACTCTTGATTTTGAAAGTCATTTCCTGCAAAGGCCTCACGTGTCAGTGTGAAGAGGAAGATGTCCTGAATAAATTTTGACTATCCCTTCTGTGTCTTCCAGCCTGTTTGATTCCCTCTCTCATGTGATGGACTTAAGGGAAAATGGGGAACAATTTGAGTATTTGTTTTAAACTTCTTGTTGCTTTCATACAAATTTCTATAATTTTGTAATGATTTCTGCATGGGATTCTTGCATTTCTTAATTCAGCATCCAATTTTTACCCTGAGTCTAACTATCTAATGTAGGTGTTTAATTTTCCAGTAATGTGAAGCCACGCTTTTCTAATTTGTTTTATTAGCTTAATAACATACCTGAAGTATAGAGTCATAACCCTCCCTTTTTTGTGTCTGGACAATTGTTCTCTAGGCCAGCAACAGTGTAGTGCTATTGTCTGAACCTGGGAAAAAAACTCCTGCATGGAAGCTGCGCTCCCACTGGGACAATGTGGGAAATTTCTGTCTTACGTGTAATGTTTTCTATGTAGTAACTAGAAAATAGTCTAAACCCATTTTCCTTGTTTTAGAGCGAAGGCACTTGTGATACTGCATGTTTATTCATGCTTAAATACCTCCTGGTTAATTAGCTTATTTTGTTCCCGGTGTTTGATGTGTTACCTCTAGTGTGGAATGGAATTTATCCCTTTTACATGCTGCGGAGTGTAGTGGTTTGCCAGGACTTCACAACTCTGTGTGTGATGGGAGCGAGCCACAAAACTGTTCTGAGCGAGTTACTCTCCTGACCCTGTCAGGGCAGAGTCAGCCCGGGATCTGTCTGGCTCTCCCGGAGTGACTGCTGTGTGAGAGCACTCCAGGCCAGCTGTAAGGCGCTGTCAGGATTTGCAGTTTCAGGGATCATAAAGCATCTCAGAGCTGTGATAACAAAGGTTATTTTCTTTTGAATATTTTGGTTTGCTCTCTACCCCTATAAATATGCTTCATGGGATTATTTTTCTGGGGGTTTTATATGTTTTCTTGCTTTAAGGAAATAGGATAATCCTCTTACCTCTTTTAAAAAAGCACCCAAACTGTCTGTGACATTGCATAAATCTAGCAGCAGTGGAATTTGGGGATTAATCCATGGGTCTACACTAGGCAGTTCTAGTGTCATGAAGATTGTGTTGGGCATCAGTTCAGCATCCATGACTCCAAGGTGAAACTTCCATGTCTGGAGTACGTTCTTGGTTTTGTAGGTGCAGGGGGTGGGAATGCAAGTGTTCATTTTCTGATGTGTGGCTCTCATGTGATTTTTGTTTCATGTGTTTGGAAATCTCATTTCCCTTTGGGTTTGCATTTTGTCATGATGCTGAGTTTATGCAAGAGGTCGCTGCAAGTATTAAATCTGCCAGTCAGATGCAGAAAGGTTTGATCCAAGAGGAACATAGAGCTATTCGAGGGGAAAAAAGCAAACCATGGGCAGTAGAGCACTTGTAGCAGAACTGGTCGTTTTTGGTTTCTAGGGTGTCAGTGCCTTCGCTTGTAGCTGGTGGTTGTATCATCATAATACCGAGCCTAACTTTGCAAGGCGCCTGCAGCCAGGGCAGAGCTCACCCGTGCTGCTGTATAAGCAACATTTTTCCTGAGCTATGCAGCCACACAGGCATGTGCGGCAGTTTTGGAAGCACTGGGAAACTTTTCTGTTTCACTGTGGATGACTTCTGAATTAGTATTCAGTTAAATTCTCTTCAAAGATCAGACGGCAGAGCTGACCAGCACAGGGCTGTAACTGTTGCAGGGGCGGCAGGAAAGCGAAACCTTGAGGTGTTTCTTTTTAGGTCTTATGAAATACTCCAGGAAGCAGTCCCTACACCAGGGTTTGTACATCATTTTTATATTTACAATGCCAAAATGCATGTTTTGGTGATACCTGGATCATTACCGGATTAAAAATGCTGTGACTGATGATTGAGTGGTGCAGAAAGATACCTCATTCCAGAGTGACACAGCTGTAAAGAGAGAGTTCTTACTGTGTGCTGTGAGCTCGGAACTACCAAACAGAGTATGCTGAATCTTCTCGAGTTACTGGTCTAAACAAAGCTAGTTTGGCTTAGATTGATATTGTTCTGCGTTTGCATCAATTTAAGGTGGTGATGCAGGAATTTGTGTGCTTTCAGTTGAAATAATTCTCCTGTTCAGTGATTGTATCCGTGTTTAAAACTGTTATGAAATAGTTCTTCCAAATCACTGTTCTCTTTCAGAGGAGTCCTAAGATGCATTTTATTTCTGTGCCTCAGTGTTACCAAAGGCACTGATTTACATTTCAGCTCGAAAAACATTTTTAAGTGTACCTTTTCAATACTTCTGCTTTGTTATGTCTGTAATGATGATGTTGGTAATGAAGGCATTTTTGTGTTTTCCTGACATATCAAAAAATAAATTTTTTTAATATCTCTTGAGAATTTTGCTTTTTACAGGTGTAGAATTTTGTGCTATTTGTGTGGGTTGCCACCACTAAAACCTCAAGCTTCTCTAACATTAAAGAAACACACATTGACCTCTAAGCATTTTGAAAAATAAATGAGTATCTTGCTTAATACAGTTATTAACTTACAGTTGCACTTTGCTTTTCAGGAGCTCGAAGAAATCCGCAAATGTGGAATGAAAAACTTCCGTAATATCCAGGTTGACGAAGCGAATTTATTGACCTGGCAAGGGCTTATCGTTCCTGTGAGTAGAGACTGCTCCTTATTCTTATGAGCTTTAACATAATGTGGGGACCATTTGTATCTCATAAATCCACAGTTTAGTAGTGCTGCTGGTGGCCATAGATAATTCTGCACCCTGGCAAGGATCTTTGTTATTATAAAACCTCAGAGCTGTAGGTTTGGGCAGCAGCTGCTTGTTCATAAGCACAAGGCAAGTTTATATAGGTGACACGTCAGCATCTGAAATATCATCTATATTTGTGTATCTCATGGGTTTCATTCATGTTGCCCCTCAGACATCCTGTGTAATCTTGGGCAAAGAGTCTAATGTTCCTGTCTCATTTGAGTGTCTTCTGTGGTTTGTTTTATCCAAGTCTGATAATGTCAGTAGGTGTTTCTTAAGAAGAAGAAAAGTCCTTACATAACTGTAAGGTGTTCTAGACTCCTCTGATCCATCCCTGCCTGGCTGCTGTGTTGTTGTAGACCTGGTCCTGGTGAGGGCTGTGGTGGCACTGGGCTACTGAGAGAGAAGTGGATAGGGGGAAGCAGATGAAGTTTGTTTTTACATTGAAGTTTTTTTACATTAAGTTTAAAGTATAAAATCATCATAAGAAAAAAAGGAAGTATTGAAATACTTTTACTCCTTAATATGTGTTTTGTTAATTGACTAGATTTATTTTGAGGATAAAATCAAGTATTGGGCAAAGTTTGATGCAGGGAAAAGATTTGGCTCACTTTCAGAAGTGAGCTCTTTAAATAAAGTGCCTTTACTTTAGGCATCAGTTAATGCCAAAAAAAAAACAATTCATTGAAGTTTTTTACAAGCTCTGTAGACTTGCAAGGGACTGTTTAATCAAAATAGGTAACTGCATCAGTCAACTACAGAGGATTTGTTACAAAGGGGAAAGCAGGAAGTCTAGTGCGTTGAACTCCTTGGTTGAAAGGCCCCTGGATTTTCACCTCTCTTACTTTCCACTGCTGTGGCCCATGGCAGTGGGAATTGGCTCCCTTGGTCGTATGAGCTACTTTTAAGTCTGCAGCAATAGGGGCTGTGCCACTGGGGCAGCAGTTCTGCTTTTTTGTGGGTGCTACCACAGCCTCCCTGAGCCAGTGTGAGTCTGTTTGTTATATGAAAAAGACTTTAACCCTCTCTGTGGCAGTGCCTCTGCCTCGGCAGTCGGAGGCCGTTCAGAATTCATGTCCACAGGCTGAGGTAATGAATGGCTGAGCCTTGGTGCTTTAAATGCTGTACAGTACAGTCAACAATTTACTGATTACTTCTGTGCCTGCAAGTGATTCCTTGGAGTGGTTGACACTACTCTTGCAAATCAGGCAAGCAGGATCTGACACTAAAATCTGACAGAGCTGAGGAGCAACAAGCTTTAATCAGCCACTCTGGTGTTTGTGGTTCATGTGTAACAGTTTACTGCTGTGATAATACTTTGAAGCAGAGTAAAGTTGGTAAATATGACTAATAAAGCAAAACACAGAAACATTTGTTTATTCCTGTTAAAATGAGGAATGTGTGATGTACAGCAGCTATTTTAACAGTTTTTGCTCACCAGAGTGTGAGTGTAGTGTTTGTTGTGTAAAGGTTTGCAGCATCACAAGTGTTTACACGTTGATGCAGTGAACTGTGCTCCATGCCTGCCTTTTGGTTTGTGGGGAATAGCTTTTGATTCACTACTGGTGTAGTTAAGGGAGAATTCTGTAATGAAATTATACTTTCCATAGTAACTACTAATGTGCTGTATGTATTCAAGTAGTAGTACAGGTTGTTATTCTGAGGATGTGCTACAGGAGATGCTTTAGTCTTACTATCTCTCTAGCTATTTTGGTACCAGAGTTGATGGCTTAAAATGCAATACACAGGCTGGTTGCAAGTTTAATTTTTTTGTCTGAGCTTTTGCTTTTGAAATTTCACATGCTGTTTTCATTTTAGAAAATGTTCTTGCTTAGGGTTTAAAGAAATATACTTCAGTAGGAGTAACCAGTTACTGATTATTAAACCCTATAACTAGACAATACTTTGGTCAGCTGCTTAATGAAGGTGTGAAAGATAAAGGTGAATGTTTTTAACAGTCTTCATACTGTGGGAGGTACTGCTTTAGAAGTTTTTGTTTCAGAACAGCTGTCAGTTTTTAAGGGTGTTCTCTCAATTGAGAAGCAAACTGAAGGTACCTTGTCAACTTCTTTTCCTGTTCTGAACTGTAGAATAAGGTAGTTTTTGTACTGTGGGTGGCCAAGGTATACTACTTATTTGATTTTAATATCAAAACAAAACTATCTACCTCAGACTCTGTTCTTGTGAGAGGTACTGTTGGTGTACTGTGAATTTCATTTCACTTAGAACTGCTGGCTATGGACACGTTTTTTGCAGAGCAAAAATACTCCAGTTTAAAATTCTGTTTCTCTTGTCAAAATAAATATGACAAACAATTGGAAATTAATTGCTTGAATATTCTGTTTTGTCCATTTAAAACATGAGCAACCCCTTACATACATTTTTGGTTCAATTTATTGGTGAGGTGCAGTGCAAAAAGTGGATGTTTTTAAGGCAGGTCACTTCCCCTGTCAGTTTACTGAGCACCTCACAGATTACAGCATGTAAGGAGGCAAGAACACGAGCCATGGGGGAGAGGGCACTGACTGCCTAAGTTGTCACTACCACCAAATGTTATTTGTTAAAATTCCAAAGCTTTTAGGATCACTTGGGTAAAAAGTGGTTGTAAAGCTGCTGTAGTTCCCTCTTCCCTTGGCTGCAGAACTTGGGCTGTGTTTCTTACAACCAGATCCTCCATATGGATGAACCTAAAATCAAATGATTTCTGTTGACTAATATTTTCATAGAGCACTCCCCACCTCCAAGTATTGGTAAATCCTGGAGTGGGTTTGATTGCAGGGAATGGTCTGGTTGCTAATGAAGAATGTGTGTGATTATACTTTATACCAACTGGAAACTCATCCTTTGATTCTTGTTCCCAGAGTGTTTGGAAAGGCTTCATGCCATAGTGGGTGTTTTCAGTGCAGAATAGTATTTTCATAAGCTTTAAATGTAGCAATGCTTTATTTTTCTTCTGCCTTTTTTTCTGCAGTTAGTGTCTGCAGCAGTTACCAATAGTCGAACAGGTTTTCTAAGTGAGATTCTGGGCATTGTTTTCCTGTTTCAGCATGAGGAACTGCTTTGCTTACTTCACGGTCCTCTCATGCTCCTTCAGAACTGATGTGATAGGAGTGGGTGCTAAAACTGCATACAGATTGGGAATGTTCTCATCAGCAGACGCAGTGAATATCTATCTTTAGTACCCATGAATGCTCAGCAGATTTCTGTGTAGTCAGCACTAAAACGTCCTCGGAACGTTTAGGGAGATCTGACAAATGAAATTGCTTTGCTGTTCGTGCCACCATGTTGTGAGACACATAAAATAACTGGGTTCAGACACATCCATTTCCCTTGTCAGACTTCTGTATGGGTCTCGGGAAGGGTTCACAATGTTTTTTGAAACACAGAGTTGGTAATAAAGCTACTTGCTAGGTAGGGACTCATGTTGGGAGAAGGTGGGGTTGAATGCTTTCTTACCAGTGCAGCCAGCTGCAGGACAGTGGCAGTCTGCTTTTTCCAGAGTGAATGCAAATGTACAGGTTGTATTGCCTCTCTCCCCAAACAGGTTTGGATGTTTCCTGACACACAGATGTGTTGGAAGAAAGTGCCTTTAAAAGAGGTTGTTTGTTAGATCAAAGTCTGGAGATGTTCTTTCTTACTTGTGTCCATTAGAATATGCCACGTTCTTGACATTCTGCCTTCTTGTTGCAGGACAATCCTCCATATGATAAAGGAGCCTTCAGAATCGAAATCAACTTTCCAGCAGAATATCCATTCAAACCTCCTAAGATTACATTTAAAACAAAGATCTATCACCCTAACATCGATGAAAAGGGGCAGGTCTGTCTGCCAGTAATTAGTGCTGAAAACTGGAAGCCAGCAACCAAAACTGACCAAGGTAGGACTCTGTGCAGAGAGAGAACTGGCTGCTGAGAGACTTCGAGCGTGTTTAAATTTAAAGCTAATAATATTTCAGCTTGTCAGCTGCTCACTGCTCCTGGGCTATATTTGTTGTAAGGTTTGTGTCATGAGTCATGTGTGGTCAGCATAGTGTGCAGCTCTTGTGGAATCTCATTCTGTTAGTGGAATGTAAGGTGATGGCACTGACATGTGGCATTTCCACCTCGTGGAAACCACAATGCTCTTCATGGCTGAAGAGTTAATTAAGGTGGTGTCCTTGGAATACTTAGAAATGTTGCTGGTAGTTTGTGTGGGAGTTATTTCGTGGTTCTTTCTGAACAATGGCTTTAGAATCCAGAGGTGTCGAGGACATTCCTGGATGTTTGAAAGAAAAGGTCTAAAACCTCAAGGCTTTGTATGTTCTATAATCTGCCATGTGGTTCAGTGATTTGAACATATGGCTTGAAGTATCAGGGGAGTCATAAACAAAACCTGAAATCAAAGTAAAGATTAATGCATAATTCTTAAAAGATCACTGCTGTGAGGCTTACTGTGTGCAGTGTGTCTTTGGGTTAGAATTTAAGTACTTTGAGGAAAAATGTTTCATCAGGTTCTATGGCAGACTGAGAGTGTGATCCAAGTAGTGTTTTCAGCTGTTGTTGCTTACATTAGTTGTTGGGGTAAGAACTTCATGTTTTCTGACAGGTAGTGATTAGTTAGATGTTAAGCATTTATTGTCATACATATAGAAAATGCAAACATCCATGCGAAAAATTCTTACTCTTTTGGACTGTTAATTCAGATGAGTAGTGGGAGAAGCAGTCACTGAAGCAGTGGGAGAGCTTCAGTGTCCCTGAAGCATCTTGCTGCACAGGAGAAGGTCTTTCTCTCTTCCAGACTCTTCAAGGTGGTTTTCACTTGACCTGTGTTCCTGGTAGGAAACAATGCTGTACTATTTCTTTTTTCTGTGAAAAGCTAATGAAGGCACTGACAGTTGGTGCGATCTTGTCCCAAACAGTAAAATTCCTGTTGTTATTTTAGGAAAGATGAAACAGTTGAGTGTTGGGGAAAGCAGAGGTAGCAGCAAAAAGAACCTCTAAATTCAAATGGGAAAGCCAAAGTCTTTTGAGTTAATGTAGATTTATCCTAGATTATACAGGACAAAGATCCTTGGGAGAGAGGAGATGGAAACAATGTGTAGAAGGTTTGTGTTAACACCTGAGCAGCTGTCTTGATCCTATCAGCCTTTTCTAGTTAAGTGAAGGAATTGCATGTCTCTCCCAGCTTGAAATACAAGTTGGCATTAGTTAGAACTACTGAAGCAATTGTTTGCCTGCAGGTAATCACCAGTGTCTCCCTGAGAAGCAACAAGTCCCTTTCTATCAGAGAGAGTGAATCAAAGCTGTGCTAAAATCAGAATTTGGAACAAGCCCTGGGTGCAAAATACTGCAAATCTCTCATGATCTGCTGTTTCACGGTCTTCTGTTTGTCTTTTAACTCTCTCTTCAAGAAGTTGTTTTAGTGTCAATATCTGTTGTTGCTACATGGTTGTATGAACCTGTGGCAGTGTTATTACAGCCCTGCTTAAATGTCTGTTCCTTTTTCTTCAGATTTCTTCTCCACTGAAAAGTCACCCTCAGCCTGTTTGCTCTTTGGGCCTTTCTCAGTGGAATAATGTGACTCTATTAGTTCAGCATTGAAGTGATTTGGTTTTGTTCAGTCAGCAGTCAAGAAAGAGAGATTAGGTTCATCATAAATCATTAATTCACCTTTCCTGTCCCAAATGTGCATCTTACTGCTGTACTTTTTATCATTTTATGCTTAATACTAGTAAGAACTGTTAGGGTATTTTTTTCATGCTGTGGATTTTGAGGAACTCCTGATCTGACAGTCCTGTTGTTTTCAGGCTTGTTACTGTGTTAAGGTTATTGAAGACATGTTTTCTCTGTAGTGTTTTGCTCAGAGGGGATTGCCACATGCAGTATTGATGCTGGTTTCATAAGCAGTCAGTGACAGGATGGCAGTTGTCCCAAGTCCAGGACTGGTGAATTTCTGTGAAGGAAGCGAATACTAGTTCTGCATTCCTTGGACAGTTTGTCGCAGTTTAAACTTGGATTTGTGGTAAGGAGTGTTCCTGTTTAGCAGTCTAGCAACAAGAGTTGCATTTGAGTGTGGCTTGTTGAGTATCTGTGTTGAGGTATGCTCCCTGTTCCTGTCAAGTAAGGGTGGAAAAGAGTATGAGCTTGACAAGATCAGTGCTCCAAAAGAAGCCGCTCTGGTATTCCAGCATCTAATGGAGTGACAAGGGGCAGGTGTCAGTGTTTGATTCAAATTCAGGAGGAGGCAGCTGGCCCTAGTGTGCAATGCATGAAGTTAACCAGGTGTGTTATACTTGCTTTAAAACTGGTTTTGGTGCTGCTTTGTATTCCTCTGGGTAGCCCAGATTCCCTCAAACAAATCTTGCTAATGCTGCCAGTGAAGTTCTCCTCCTGCACACCTGCTTTGTGTAGAACTGCCCAAGTACAGATGCCTGTGAGTGCCTGGACATGGGAACTCCTGACCCTTGGGGTGAGGGAAATGTCACTGTGGTGTGTGAGGCTCACTATGTAAATGGCAGGTGCAGCTCTGTTACCTGAGGAATGGCATTTCCTGTGGAGATGACAGGGCTGTGAGCAGAGGGTGAGATGCACCTTGCAGCTCTCACGTGTGCGTTTGCCTGGTGCAGCTCTGCATTGGGCAGTTCAGAGCAAAGAGAAGACTTGCCCGCTGGTCACAGGGGAAGTAAGAGTCACAGGGAAACAAAGCTGAGTGAAAGGGTTTCCAAAAGCAGCCCAGTCACAGCTGCATTTCTCTGACAGGTGTTGGGCAAAATGCTTCGTGGCGGAAATTCCATCTTTACCCAATCCCATTAGATGAACTTGTCTGGGAACTTTGGTGTTCTCTCAGCCATGGGAGAGTATTTCAGATGGGATGCCAGTTACATGGGAAATCGTTTGTAGTGCACTTTGGTCTCTATTCATGTTGATTTTGTTTACAAATATGATTTTCTGGTGTTCATTCACGGTCATTGAACTAAACCTTGGCATATCGCTGTCACTTACTCACGCCCTGCGCTTGAAAGGGCCTGAGATTTGTGGGGATGTGTTTAAATGCAGTTAAAGCTCTTTTCTTACCGGGGAATTTTGCTTACATTTTGATTTTCAGAAACTCACCATCTTAGTCTCTGACGGTATTTATACTTCTTTTGACAGTAATCCAGTCCCTCATAGCACTGGTGAATGATCCACAGCCCGAGCATCCCCTCCGGGCTGACCTAGCTGAAGAATACTCTAAGGACCGTAAAAAATTCTGTAAGAATGCTGAAGAGTTTACAAAGAAATATGGTGAGAAGCGACCAGTGGACTAAAATCTGACACAACTGCTGTCAGCACCGTATGCTAGAAGATCGGAGCAGTGCATTTGAGACACCCCGTAAAGCAGGACTCTATGGAAATTGACAAGTGCCACCTTTTGGTGTGAACTTGTGGCTGTTACTAACTTTCTACAGTTTTCTTAATCAAAAGTGGGCTAGGTAACCTGTAAAGAAAGGATTAAAATTTAAGATGTTCTAGTTCTGCTTTCTTTGTTTAAAAATCACTGCTTCAATATACTTTAAAGTATGCTGTTTTCTTTTTCTTGTCAGAATTTATCAAAAATATCTTAGACTTATATTCTGCCCTTAAATTGAAAAGGTTGTGGCTGTCATTTCTTATTTTTCCTTGCAGTTCCCACTATCTTAAGTTCATTCATTGAATTTTATCCCCCTCCTCAAACTGATGTCTTAGGAAAATATCCCAGTTCTGGCAGAAAATGATTGAGTGTTTGGCAGTTTTGTTTACTTTTCTTTCTACATGTTGCACTGTGCTTTGTGGGACTTCTTGCAAGTTCCCCTGAACTTCAGTTTGTAACATAATAAACAGAACCCAACCCATCCCCACAAAACCAATCAGAAATAATGTCTGGGTCTGATGTAAATCTGGCCAATGTTACCACAAAATGTCAATTAAACGGGGAAACCCAAGTTTTTGTGTGCGTCATTGAATTAGGATATGGCTCATGTCCTGCTCTTGGAAAACTTCGGACAAAAAATCTGTAGTGAATGAGTAGTGGAATGTGATTGCAAACTTCCTTCACTTTTATCCTTAACACCTGTGCACAGTAGCGGGAAAGGTGCACAGAACAACATTGCAACCAATCCCGGAGAGTTTCAGAAATTGGGGACCAAGAGGTACCAGTGATAAACTTCTTTAAAATCAATATTTTGGCAATGTTAATTTTGAATTCAAGTACTAACTCTGACAGCACTGCTGTCACCTTAGAATGCACAGAAACACCTGTGTTTATGGGATGGCACTTGTGCCGCTCCCCAGCCCCATTGCTGTGCAGTTCTGCCCGACACTGGTTCAAGGGCAGGACGGAGCAATGGGCTGGGACAGAGTACACTTTGCTGCTGCTGCTCCTGTGTTCGAAACACACGGGTTGGGTGATTAAATGAGTGCTTCAAGTGTCACTGTAGCTTAATCAGGCAGAGCTGTTTTCCGGTTGCTCTGGGCACTCCTAGCATGCTGCAGGAAGCCCCTTCTGTTCAGAACTGAGCATCCTTTGCCGTGGCTCTGCTGCTTGTCGCCTGCCTTTCCTCCCCAGGCCAGAGTGTGATCATAGCTCCACAGTCAAACTGCCACACAGTCAAACTGCCATCTCCCCCCACCTCCAGCTGAGTCTGTTACTGAGCAAACAGCATCTCCAGAAACCCACCGATAGCTGGGAGTGCATGTCATTTTGAAGTGCAGGAAGCTGAGATAGAAAATCCCTCACACCTGGGTGGTTGCCTGTACTCTTAAATTCAGTTTTAATACAGCCTCTGCCTTTGCAACCTTTCAGAACTAGTGTGTCAAGCAGTAGGTCTCTCCTGGTTTTAATGTCCTGTATATTTGCTATTTCCTCATTCTTCCCTCTCACTGGCTTTCATTTCCAATCTAGTGCAAACAATGACAGCCCAGTACCTCACCTCTGTTGAAAGTAAATTTTTTTATAAGTTAGGGAGCTAAGAAATTTTATGTTTAAGTGTTCTTAGACAGATTCTTTGGCAGGTAAATAAACCACATTCACCTTATTACGGAAACTTGCATTTCCTAAGCGTTTTCAGGCTTGTGAGAGCACTGTCTATTACCAAATTTCCACATCTTTGTGTCTTCATTTGCAGAAAGTTGGTACTGATTTTGTTTCATTCACGCTCACTCGGATTCATAATAAAATAATGCCAAATTATCTGTCAAACTGAAGTGTGTAACTTCCGCATCACCTGAGTCACTGTACCTTTGATCATGTCTGTTGGAATGGAAATGTACCATTCTCTAAATTTTATTTGAAACAAAACTGTAGCACTAGTTTGCTGCCCTCGTTGCTACTCAATAGTATACTCTGTGGTTGTAAAGCCTCTCAGGTCAAAGACTGCGTCTGTCTGCGTCGGTGTGACTCAGATGCCGTTGGAAGGGAACGGAAGGGCTGTGTGATTCCAGGAGCTCCGGTCGATCCATGCAGGCCTACAGCAGTGCTGCACCAGCCATTCCCATTCCAGCTACAGAGATCACACAGAAGACAGATATTGCTATCAATTCTCTTAGTGTGTTCTTCATAGTCCAATCACTAAACTGTGAGATGTGTAACGAAGTGCTGGTGCATGTCCGTGGGCACCCTCTGAACAAAGGGATCCAACACTGCTGTATGGCTGAAGTCTGAGGAGAAAATATCCAAGTGCGAAGTCCTATGTTAACTCAGGAAATCAAGCTCTTGTTCTCTCTGGTTCCCTAAGCCATGCTGAATTCTAAATGTGCAGATGAACATCCACAATAGAAGCAGCGCACTGGTGAAACCACACCCAGGAGTACTGGTATAGGCTTTCTGCAAGTCCATTCTGCTACCCTAATAAAAATTGCTCTCAAAAGCTTCGTGCCATGGTTTTATTTTCAGACAGGGCTGGGGGTTAGCCTGGGATTGTAGTAGTGTTTTTAATTTGAATTTGGGTTGTCTTTAAAGCTTTCACAGAATCACTGAGACACTTATCTCCCTGTGTTTTACATGACTGAAAGGTTCCCTCTTTAGAAGTCTTTAGTAGATCTTTATTTATTTCTCCAGTTAATTTGGGGGTTAATGTTCATTTAAAAGTATGGAAGTTGCAAAATACATTCTTTGCTCGCAGTACAGCCCTTGGCTGAGGCTGCTGTTGGGTCTGCAGTGCTTAGCCGGCAGGAGTGCATCTGGAATTCAAGAGGTGTGTAAGGTCCTGATGGTTGTGATCAGAGCAAAGACAGCCGTTAGAATATGGAGCAAACCCCTTACAAGCAGGGTGTAAAAGTATCCCTCAAATGCCGGTGACATTCCATGGGCTGTTCCTCGCGGGGGGCCGCGGGCACTGGGCGGCGCTGGTGGCCGCGCTCAGCCCAGCGCGGCGGGAGAAGCTTCCCGAAAGGTACCAACTGCTGCAGTCAGAGCTGGCTGTGCGCTCTGGCACTTGTGCAGGACAGTTTTTAGAAGCAAACTTCTTGTATAGCTAATTAATTTCCTGACAATAATTTAGGAAATAACCTGGGCAAAATCTTTTCTGCAGCATCCTTGATGTTTTTGTATTTGTACAGGACAGAAAAGTTCCTCAGACATGTTCTAGGGAAGGTCAGACAGTTGCCCCATTAAGGACAGACAGGGAGGCCTGCCCAGCTCTGCCAGACAATCACAGGTGAGTGGGTTTAGCTGTAACCAAGACCCCAAGCCTCCTGAGGCATTGCAATAGAAAAGGCCTGAGTTTATTTTTCACTTAAAAGAATGATGATCATCTTGACTTTTTAATATTAAAAAAATACAGTGAACAAAATATTGTGTTAAATTAGACCACTTTTGTGCAGGAAACGAGCATAAGCAATCTAAAATAATTTTTCCCCATGTGATAGTTCTAGAGGAGTGACAAGGCTGCAGTTAAGAACACATCAGCATTACTGGGGCTTGTTGGAGTTTGAGTGCTTTGGTGAGAAGAAAAAAGGGACAAATACAGGGCCCTTCTGCCCTTGCAGACTTGCTCATGGCTGGCACACAGCCACCCCTTGGTTTGTCCTGAGGGGCAGTGGGTGGTACAGACCAGTTGCTGCTGCTCTCTACGCAGCAGCTACTGAAATAGCAGATGGGTCAACAGTTGCTGCTGCTGCAAAGTCATCCAAAAAATAAAAAAGCTTCTCCAAAAGGGCTGCAGCTGATGTTACTCTCCTATGGGGGCTTAATGCCAAGAGGCAATGTAAATAGAGAGATACATAATTACTGCTGGCTGAGGCTGTTCCTGGAAAATAGCTTCAGACCCCACAGGGCCACTCATGTGATCTGACTGCTCTGACCAGAGACACGCTGAGGGTGATGTGCCCCTCACCAGCCATGAGCACGTACGAGCAGAGGGGAAAGGGACCACGACCAAGTGCATTAAGAAAGCCAAACGCAGAAGTTTTCCATGGGTGACCTACCCTGAGCAATTGCTCCAAAGCAGCACCTGCACCCCAGCATGTTGTTGGGGGGTTTTTTTGCCATTAAGTCCAAAAAGAGAAATGATCATAACCCTGGGTGCTGCAAGGAGTAGCATGGAAACACAGCACAGCGTGTTTCCATGCTACTCACTACCACATTGTCAGGAGCTGAGCCCTGAGAGGTGGCTGGGCCATGGCTGCCATGCTGTGCTGGATCGGGGGGGGTGTGTGTGAGGGGTTTGTCACATGCAGAGCAGATGCTGTGGCCTAAAAACTGGCAGTCAGGGCTCTGGGGTACTGCCTGGAGCTGCTCAGAGGATGTTGCTCCTCCATTCCCAAGCTGTTCACAGCTCTTGTCAGCTGTACCGGGGGTATGACACGGTATGTGACACTGATAACAGTGGTCTGGCTTCTTGGGACATCATCAACTGCCTCTCTTCAGAGAATGGATGGATGGATGGATGGATGGATGGATGGATGGATGGATACTTCTTTATTTAAAGATCTTTGAATGAACACAGCTGAATGTTCCTGCTTTTGTAATGGCTCTGCAGCTCTGGCTTAACTAAAGTCTGGAGCTCATGGAGGCGCTCCCAGGACTGCGAGAAATCATCTGGTCCTTCCCCACAGCCGCCGACGGGTGGGACACTGGGGTACCCTGGATGCACCATCAGTTCTATGGTTACTGTCCTGCTCGGTGGCGTTGGGTGTGCAGGTGAGGCTGCCTTGGCCGTGACCTCCAGGATAGCAGTGTCGATCGCACTCCAGATGCTGCTGACAGACATGTTCTTGCCCATGGTGCTCAGGCCTATGTAAATGTCTGGCCACCTGGAGCCAGGAGGAAACACTGATATTAATGCTAACAAGGTAGGTAGAGACCTGAATTAGGTCCAGTGGATTAGGAATCAAAATTTACCTAAAATTTAAGATAGAAAAGGGGGAGGGGATTTACAACTTTTAACTATAAACAAAAGTAAACCCAGAACTTCAAGCCAGTTGTGCTTTTTCTTTCCTATTTCAAGCAGCGGTTCTGCAGTGACAGCAAACCCAGCACAGCCCCAGCACTGCTGCTAGGCTGTTATTGGTGTGCCCTGTGTCACAGCACACAGGTTATTTGGCATCTGTGAGCTTACAGGTGCATTTCGTTGGCCCAAAAGGGAAGAGCAGAGCTAAAGAGAAATCCCACACTATACTAGGCCAATTAAAACCCGAATAATAATCACCGCTAGACAATAACCCTCAGCTAAGTGGAAATGAAGGTGACTGAAATAAGGAGACCTGAACAAGTCTACGTGAGGGCAGAAGGTGAATGTTTTTGGAAGAAACCAAGGCTGGAGTCTTTAGCTGCATGATCAAAGAGCTCTGCTGACCACTTGGCTCTTCTTGAGAAAAGTTTGTAGGACTTAGGAGAATATTAACTGTGACCTGAGTACACACCGACACCTCACTACCGTGCAGTGAGCAGAGCCTTGTGCTCTCCAGTGCCACAAACCCCGCAGGCTCCAGGGCCTCGGTGCAGTACCTTCTGCAGAGGTGCTGAGGTCGAGTGGCAGCATTGAATTCCCTGAGCTCTCAGCTGACCGTGCTCCTCGCACTTCCCTGGCGTTCCCTGTGTTCGTGGTTTGTATAAGAGCTCGGCCCTCCTGGCCTGCCCTGCCGGCAGCGGCTGGAGCGCGGGCTGGGTATGAACACACAGGTCCTGCCAGTTCCCCGCACCCCGGAGAGGCACAGCAGCTTTTCAGAGGTACACCAACAGCATCCTGCCCTTTGGTACTGCGGGGAGCCCTGCAGCGTTTGGGGTTTCCAGTCTGCTGTCCCAGTGTGGACTTGGCCTAAAGTTACTCTCCTGATGACCTGCGCTGTGAGTTTCTGTGCCCTTCCTTCCCTCAGAAATAGGCTGGAGCACAGCCTATGTGCTCTGGATGGATGGGCAGGGTGGAATGCCAGCCTGCTGCTAGCATTGAGAACAACTGATACCAAAATAAAATCCAAGAAAATAACTGCTTCAGTGGACCGAGAAAGTAATGAAATCTGCCCCAAAGGACAGGTGACAGCAAGGGTCTCAAGTGAAATGTCTTTAACTCGTAAGACACTGTTTAAGCTTTTAAGAGAAGTATGTTGTTGGGGGAAGGGCTGAGCTTCTCAGGTTTGGCCCCTGAGATGCAGGACACCAACGAGGCTGTTCGCATAGAGCAGTGATCGCCAGCTGTGACACTGCAAGCTCAGGGAGCTTCTTGCTTCCCCTTAACAACAAACACTTGTTTCTAATTAGTCTTTCTTGCTACTTAAAACCCTTTCTCCACTGTGCCAGAAAGATGAAAAGTTATTTCTTGACAACTTGCCGTAGATCATACTTTGAAAACTCCACCACTGATGCAGCATTTCTCCTGCAGTCCCAGATGCCAATGCAGCTTCACTAGGAAGTCTGAGAAACATACCCTGAAAAGAACATTCCCTTTCAAGTGGGAAGTGAGTCACCGCTGTTCAAATAAAAGCTCCTAAGCCCTAGTGCCCCCAGCACTTTTATCCTCCTCCTGAACCTCTCTGTAAGCCCTGAAGAGGAAAGAGAAAGGTGGTGTTCCATTTTGGAAAGATACTATCAGGCACTGATAAGATCTTAGAGTTTTACTGCAAAAAGGATGAGTAATGCCTGTCTTACCTTATTCCATGCTTTGTAAACACATCCACTGTGTTAAAAGAATCTTCTTCTACTCCCAGATAAAAGTCCATCAGAGACGGTGGAATCCAGTCACAGTTATGAAGGCCTGGCTCTATTGGGACACGAGTGTACTTAATCCCATATTCCTCTAACACCTCTGCAAAAACATGCCTGACCTCTGCAAGTAAAACCAGAGACACTGTAGTCAGGAGTTGGATAACAAGCTCATTGTGTCCCCTGCAAGCTGTAAGCACAGAGGCTTCTTCCCATGTTTAAGAAAATCAAATCCCGTTTGGTTTATCTTCTGCTGAAATTGTTTTATTTGTCTGTGTGGGAGTCACCATCTATACTGGAAATGCTTCTCCCTCAACATCTGATGTAGGTGCCTTTTTTCTTCCCTTCAGTACTGGGCATTCAGTCCAGCCCCTGCTTCTAAGTGAGGGGCTCTGGTCTTGGAGTGCACCAGAGGTAACTGCACTGTCAGGAAGAAGCTCTTCATCAAGTCCCTGCACTGTCGGAGCAATATTATCCATAGGCCGTTACTGCTGGAGTGGGGAAGGCTGGATTCTTTTTTTTTTTCAGTTTTCCATCTCTGTACCACAATGACCTTATTTGCAAAACAGGTACAAAAGATATTTGCCCATTTCTAAAGCAAGCTGAGACCTACAGGAAGGGACTGGGGTGGAAACAACTGACAGAATGGAGTTCTTGTAGCACCTGAAAGAGCCACAGACCTTGCAAACTCCATCATTCCTATTTAAACTGGCCAGTCTGCTGCTGGCTTTGATCTACCTCCTTCAGTGTGGGCAGGAGGAGGAATTAGGATGCTGAGGTGAATTATCAGTTCTTAGAGGAAAAGGTGTAACCTGGGCCATTTGTGCCATTAATCCCCTCGTGCTGCCATGCGAAGACTCAAGACTCCAAGTAAACAGTTTGGGCCTGGGCAGGACTGTCTCCCCAGGGCCCAGGTGGGGACATTCAAACTGCAACTGTCAAGCAAGTATCTTATGGTGATGTTTATTGCCCAAACAGGAGCCATGGCAAGGGGAGTCCCCTCTGACTCTCCAACTCTCTCACCTGCTTGGCACTGGGAAGAAGAGGACTTCCTTCTTACCTGGGAGGACGTGGACATGCTGGTGCCCATCCATGTGAGGAGGTAGGTGACCTGTCAGCTCATGGAACAGCTCCACCTGAGCCTTTAGCTCCTGCCTCACCTGTACAGCAGAGAAGCAAGACCTATCAGCAGGCTAAGAGCAGGAGAGTTCAAGGGGCTGCTGGAGACATCGCTGGCCAGGACTTGGGAGGTGGCCCTGGGAGGCACCAAGTGCTGTGATTATAAAGGGATGTCCATTGCTGCTGGACTAGTCAGAGCCTTCCCTAGGCATGGGGCTCTTTGTAGTACTGGGTATGGGGATGGTGCTGATACTGGGATTTTCTGAAATGCATAGGATATTTGAATACCCATTTCCCTTTAAAATGAATAGGGAAATAGGTGTTCATATCCCATAGGCAGTTTTCATCACAGTAACATGTTCATCCTTGCTCATGGGACAAAACCAGCCATCTTCCTAGAGAGTAAAAGCCTCACACCAGCTGATGAAAAGCCTAGTGCCCACTTAGGACTTATCTGTCATTTTCCTTTTACTGATCTCTAGGTTCTTTTTAAATACCTGTTCCAATGCTGCTTCTGCCCCCTCAGATAAACAGTTAACAGGACATTAGGGTACACAGGCACCGAAGCAGGGAGGAACGTGCTCTCAAAGGCTGCAGAGCCTGTGGCAGAATGAGGCCCAGGACCTGGAAAGCCAGCTCCAGCTGCACACACAGCATGGTCAAGGCTTAGAGACCTTGGGATCTGTGAAAGCTGTTATGTGCTGAGATCTGGGAAAGCTGTTATGTGCTGGGATAAGTTCAGGAAAGCAAGCCAAATGGCTGCATGTGGCTTTCTCCTACCTCTGACATATTCAGGAGACCTTTTGATAGAGCTGTTCTGAATCCCATTTTACCATGGAAGAATCCATCTCGGTTGAGCAGAGAAGAGTTTGTCTTGAGTACCTCACATACAGGGGAGCCCTCGGAGAGGTTGGCATGCAGGCCTATTGGGATGTTGTATCTGTAACAGGAATGAAATATCTGTTAAGATTTGCACCTCCCTCACTGTGGCCAAAGAGAGTGAGATTTCAGTGAAAGAGCTCAACTGATCTTAGAAGTGTTGCTGTCCTCACTGGAGTACATCTTTGTATCTCTGCTCTGCTAGAAAGGAAAGCAGAGTGACCTTAACCAGAGAAGAATATCTCCAGCTAACTACCCTGTGCAGTCTTCCAAAGGCCAGTGTGAGACTCCCTCTCACCCTGGCTCACATCACAAGGTATCTTGGGCTAAATGCTGTAACTGCACTTTGTAACTACAGTCACTAGTAACTAACTGAAAAATCTGGACCTTTCAACCTTTTCTAGAGCACTTCAATAGTTCTTGCTAGGTATCCCCTTGAGTTGTTCACTCTATTAAAGATGGTACATTTATGATACATTTGAGTTCTAAAGCTGCCCTTAAGTAGAATCCAGTCATATATATACAAACAGTGGCCAATGCAGCTGGTATGCAAGTGTAAATACTGTCTGAGTTTAAGGGTGTCCTGGTCCAAGGGGCTGCAGCTGGATTTGCCTGCAGTGGCCAGGCTCTTGTCTACTGGTGCAGACTAACACTTAGTGAGGGATAAGGCTGATGCAGCTTCAATCTGAAGTTGTACAGAGCAGCATCTCTGGCATGGTTAAAGGATTACTGCAGGGAGGCCCGCAGTGAAGTGTAGAGGCTTGCTAAGGAATCAAAGAGAACAACTGATTAACTAGTTGCAGTCTGTAACAGTTGAAAAAAAAGAAACTATGGAGCCAGAGTAGATGCAGAGCTCCTCTCTGCCACAGGGCTTAGTGAGTGCTGGTGTTTGCTTCTTGGTCTGTGCTGTGGATGAACTGCAATGAAAACAGGTCTTGTGAGTGCTCACATTTATACGGGGTCTCACTAGCTTTTTTGGAAATCCTCAGAATCGGTAGCCAGATTGATGCCTTGAAACTTTTTCCAAGACAACCCCTGGCCTCTGGCTGACCCAGTAGGTACATGACAGAACTGCAATGTTCTGTCTGTGTTGCCCAGTCTGAGTCATGGTGCATAGTGAATTTCAAGGCAACAAGTCCATGATGCTTTAAATCCTTCTTGGAACTTCTGCATGGGGCTACTAAAACTGGGCATGGTCTGTCCCTGATACAGCCCTTGCACCATGAAGAGGAAAACAAAAGCAATCTCAATTTAGGCAAGTGTGCTAAAAACATCTTCCCGCTCTGCTGCCCTGAAGCTGACTGGTGAAGCACTGAGTTACTGGAGACAGGACTGTGGATGGATTGGACCAAGTCAGAGTCATTTAGCTCCTTCACGTCCAAAAGCTTTGGCCCTTGTAGGACTGAAAGCCTTTTTCCCTGGCTCCTTCATGTCTTGTGCTCCAGGTGGATGGTGCAGTCAATTGCCAGATACTACTTCTCAAAGACATAAATGTTAGGAGACAAGTTGTATGCACAGCTCTGTGAAACAAAATGAGACCATGTCTTTCCAGTCCACTGTGTGATTAAGGAGCTTGAATGTCTGCTTAATGGAGCAAAACAGCTTGTGGAAAGAAAGGTCCTCTGGCTTTTCTGGTGATTTCTTTCAGCAAGGCCTGATGGTTTCATTGATGATAAATGTTCATCTGGTTTTCATACCTGGGGCATGAGCACATGACGTGCACGCTAGCTTCTTGCTAATACAAGAAGTGGAAGATGCTGTCATTAGGAGTGTGGCCATTAGGCAGGCAGTCGAGGGCAGGGCAGGAGGCAGTGACAGTGCAGAAGGAGTGCTGGGGCAGGAGGCCTTCCCCTCCATTCTGTGACCTGCTGGGTATCCTGCATGAGCCCAAAAGGAGAGGAGGAACCTGTGGTTTTGTTTTGGTTTTTTTCAGAAGTCCACCTCAGATTCTTTATTGTGTCCCTGGGAAGCTCTGACTGTATCAGCTGTACCACAGCCACTGCTGTTTGAAAAAAAAGAAAAAAAAGATTCATGTGTTACCATGAATCAGCAGATGGACTTTTTTGTTGAGTACTCTCCTCATGTGTGTTGTGGGAGGGCAAGAAATGAACAGCTGAGCCTCTCAGTGTTGTCTCCCAGGAGCATCAAATGAACTGCCTCCAATTGTGCAATGCCTTAAATGGTGTGAGGGAAGCTATTTCCAGGAGAAGGCAAGCCCCTCTGACAGGTGTGGGACACTGAGGAGCCAAGTGCTGTGCTGGGGAACCTGAGAGCTGCTCCTTGCTGGAGCTGAAAGCAACCCCAGAGCTGGGGAATGAGCAGAATGTGGAAGTGCAGAGAGAGCTGGCCTTGTCCTTACTGTAAGGGGAGAGTCTGACTGTAACATTAGAGCATGTTTCAGAGCTTTGGCTAACACCAGCTGAATATCTTAATAGTTTTCTCGTAGAGTTGGTCCTAGCTTGTTTGACAGATTGCCCATGCTGAGGCATCCAACAAGGAATTGCTCACGTTCAACGGCTCTGGGATACAGGGACTGAAAACAAAACTCAAAATGCAGCATCTGATAAACTCATTCAGAAATGCTCATCTGTGGGAGATGCACAGAAGCAGCATGCTGTGAAGGCTGTAAGGATATGAGAAGGAGAACAAAGCAATGGGTACAGCAGAGTTCTGCTGAAAGCTAGCTCTTCTCCCCACAGGCTGCTACACACACTGGACTAACTCTCCTGAGTGCCTCTCACTACTGAAATGCAGCTTCTGCAAATAAAGAGCAATGCCAAGGCATGCTGTACTCTAAAAAAGGCAGGGAGAAAAGTCAAGTTGTGGGAATACCCTCAAAGGGTCCTTTTTTTAGAGTGCAGGCGATTGTTTCTGCTACACAAACATACTTTGTAGTTGCCTGTATCTTTTCAAATACTGTTAAATATCTGCTATTTTATTGGCTGAAATACTGAAGCAGAGACCAGCAGCTCAAACAGCTTATATAGCATGTGATACTGCACCAGGAACAGAGCTCGGCTGTTGTGGGTTTGGCCTCATACCCACTCCTCTGCACAAGCCCTTTACAGGTGGGACAGGGTGAGCCCTGCTGGTCAGGTCTAACTGCTAATTGCTCACAGGAGATTCAAAATGAAACGCCTGGCATTGAGCCTCAGGCAACAGTTTAGTTTCTGCAAAAAGAACTCTGCGGTAACAGCTACCATTGCCAAAACAAAGTAATGCTGAGGAATGTGCTTGGTGTCTCTAAACTGGTTTTGGTAATTGTTTTCAGCAGCAATGACCCTTCCACAACCTGTTTGGAGGGGCCCATGTCTATGTGTTTACAAGGCTGTTCCACTGCACTGGACAATGCAGAGATGTGAGGCAGGATTCAGCACACAGGTTGAGTTCACTCCTGATAAAGTCGAAGGATAATGTCTACAAGTATATGCTCCTATAACACAAGCAGCATTAGACTGGGCTGCTTGAGAGCTTACTGAGAAGAGATTCAGGCCAGCAGCTTTTGCAGCCACTGAGGTTAGTCCTCTAGTGAGCTGTTTGCACTGAATGTTGGCTGTTACACCAGCCTGGCTCTGTAGTTCTCTGCTCAGCATCCTCTGTAGGAGGTGGGGGGAAGAGGGTGGGGGAAGCAGAGACCCTTACAAAAAGTGCTACAAGGGGCAAGAAGGAATTCACCCCGGAAAGATTTCTGAGTCAGCAAGTCCAGTCCGGTTATCAAAGAGAGGGGAAATACAATCAGCTAAACTGCTTCCTTTTCAAGTAGTTCCTTGTTTTTCCATACAAGTGCTCTGAACAAATGTCTCTTCTGAGGCAATGGGCTTTGTACCGCTGCAATCCCTGTTCATTCACATCCTTAGCAGTAAAGGGACTCTGGAGATGGTTATTACACTGACTTATTCTCTGAAGTGCCCACCAGCTCTGCACATTTCTGAGCTTAGTGGCTGAGTAACAGTGTCCTGGGTCCTGCCTGGCCACGGCATGGGACTCTGTGGAGTCCCCGTGTTCCTGGGAGCAGTTGCAGTGACTGTGGGAATTATGTGATTCACCAAGCACAGTCCCAGTTGACTTGCTGAAGGCTGCATACTCTGGCATAAGCATGGCACTTACCCTTTTCCTTGGTGGGTAAACAGATCCCACCTCCAACATCCTGTTTGTATCATCCAGGAAATTACTGTTCGGCAGATCTCAGCCCAGGTGTGACACAAGTAAGAGCCTCGTGTAAATATCTGTATCTCAACATCCTGCTCCAGTAAACACCAAGTGTCTGAAGGCAGACAAAGAAAGGCTGTGCTTTGTGCAGAAGTGTACACCTCTAAGTTTCTCCATGTTGGCATTTGCATATTTCCCATACACACTTTCACCATTCAACAAACTGTAAGATCTGTCTTTCATCAAATAGCATCTTTTCTTGCTCTATTACTGCTAAGGATTTATTTCTGCTGCAAGAAATGCTCCAAAGCCTCTGAAGTGTTAAGAACTGGTACTGTAACATAGCTTAGGGATGTGAGTTTCTATTGTAATTACGTCTTTGTATCAAGTGAAGCTCCTGTGTCTGTAACCTTACACGAGCAAAAAGCACTGTTGCCAGTAAAGTCAATATTATCTGGGATTCTAGCTTAAGGCCTCAGATTGGGCCCTACCCCTATCCAAACACAGTTCAGCAGTGGAATTGTTTGCTACGTGATTAACAGTCACATAAAAGGGTGATGAGAAAGCATGAGAGACTTCTAGATTAGTCAGATGTTGACTGGGAGAGTCAGAATTAAGTCACAATTTACACACACATTTTGCAATTAGTGTTGATGGAAAACGAAGTGAAAACATAGGCAGCAATTAAATGTGGGTTTGTTAGATTTTTCTGTTAAATGTACCCATATGATGTGGGGACTTCAGTTTTTGTGTAGCTGATGTTCAGCATTTAAACTGCAAAAAAACCCACCAGGAAGACTGAGGTTGTGTTCTAAAATATGTCACTCTTCATCAGGTATTTGGATACAATCATCTGCAAAAGGGTCCTGATACTCAGTAACAAGTGAGCTGTTTGATATAAAGGGGAGGAGTTGGGGGATATGGCAGCAAACTATCTTAGGTGTCTCTATCTCTGTATTTCTAAGCAAAAATGAAGGGATCTATTCATTTCAGGTTACAAAATAACCCTTCCAATTTCTGAGAAAGGTTGTGGAATAATCACTAGGAAAACTAGATGACTTCAAGGTAGGGCTTGCCAAATAGAAAACTGAAATTATATTATATGGATAACCAGGAAGTTGCAGTCAGTCCATGGCCCATAAAGAGGAAAGTTTTGAGTTACTGAAAAAGACCCACAATGATAGTCTATTCTCCCACCTGCTGCTCTGGTAGTTGCTATCAGTAGGTTTGTCATTTGGTGATGGATCAGGCCTCTGCTAAAACTTCTCTGTTGCACAAAGTGAGTGGGTCCCTTCTCTGAGCCCAGTTATGACAGTGAATGAGAAAAGCCCAAAATCCTGAGCCTGGATGTTAGGGAAGGTGTGTGTTTTTACTGCTTGGTTCTGCTGTTCTGCAGTTAGCTTGTGTTAGAGCTGATACAAAGATCTGCTGACTATCATCACATTTCTGCCAAGGCTTCTAATCAAATCTCAGGGCAACAGATGGTATACCCAGAAACCTAGAGAATTTTTGTGAAAACGAAAGGGAGGATGAAAATCCAGAGGAACTGTGTTCTTTTCTGAAGAATGCTGAGTCCTAACATTGCAGGGCAGCATGAGGTACTTAGGAAGGAAAAGTTGTCTTGTTACTAATTAGCTTTGCCTGTGTTTAATTAACTGAAAACCAGGTGAGGAGAGAGCTCAAGACTTGCAGTGACAAGCAGCCATGTCATAGACAGTTAATCAAGAGCCACCCAGATAATCTCCACAACCCATAGAAGCAGTCCATCACTGACAATCCTGGCACCATGAGTGCAAAAGAGTAAATTCCACAGCACTGGAATGTGCCCCAGGAAAGAACAAGCTACTTGCTTCAAGTGTCTTCTCTCAGCTTGCGATGGATTCACTCTTCCTGCTTACACTACTGGTCGAGGCTGAATAGGTGAAGACAAACATGGGGAGGAAAAAACAAGGCAGGCTTTCATCCCATAAAACACAAAGCCTCAATATTCACAGTGGGACGGGAGATGACACCAAGCAGAGGGACGAAGGAATAAGTGGCAAGGCAGGCAAGCAAGTTTCCCATTTTTGCACCACAAGATGAGGAGGATTCAATGACATTTCTAGTAAGTCTGACCTATTTGACACCTGTGTACAATAAGATTTTGCATCAGCCTTTGCAACAGAGGAACAAATATCTCAGGGGTGACACAAGAGTTTGTTTATACAGACTGGTACCAGTTAAGCACAAGCAGCATCTGAAGCAGGAGTTGCATTAGAATATGATGAATCCTTTTCCCCAAAGCTGCAGATGCTCCCCCATGCCTGGATAGGGCTGCATACAGCTGCAGAGAGTTACACAAATGAGGAACTGTAGAAACTGGGCTGTTGATGTTTAGTGCTGGCAGATGTTCCCAAAGTGATCCTGTTTATATGCTTAGAAATAGTTTTAAATCCATTTTATTTATATTCACAATTCAAAATTACCCTTTCACAAAAATGAAATTGTCGCAGCAGGCTGCAGCTTCTGCTGCCCTCCAACCTGGCTTTTTATGTCAGCACAAGTGTCATGACCTGGATTCAAAGATGCTTTTTAAACCACTGATTACATGGCCTACTTTCTGGCTATGAAAATGAGGCCAGGTGGATTCTATTTTAAAAGCCTGCTAAAGACCGTGGCTAAAATAGCTGACAACATTACCAGACCACTGGGGCTTAAAGGGTTTCACAGTGCCCCTGTGTCAGAGAGAAGTGCTGGTTTTATCTCTGTGTTTTACATTTTATTTGTTTCATTGGCTAACAGGATTTTAGCAATCTCAACAGTGTTGTGCCTCTCCTCTTATCACCCCCAGGCAGTTCCTCTCTTTTTGTTTGTGTGGAATCTCTAGCCTTTTTCACAGAAGACCAGGTTGCCACCAAGACCACATCCAGGCTTTCCTTCACCACCCTACATCAAAGAAGCTGCAAGCAATTTCCAAGTACCCTAAAATCACAGCAAATTGAGGAGAAGTGCTCAAGGAGAACAAGGACAGTATTACTCTCATGAAACTGTTCCCTGCAGCAGCTGCATTTAAAGCATAAGGTCTCAGTTCATTTAGTACCAGTACAGCTCCTTTCCTCTTCTGCTTTCCTAAATTGTTTCCCAACCCTGCTGCTCTTTCTTTCAGGACATACTCCTGCTTCCAAGTGCCTGTCCACACCGGGGTTGAAGCATTAGCTGGGTTTTACCTTTTAAATACAAGTAATGCTTCCTATTAAAGGATTTGCTGGACTAGTCCATGAAACTGCCACATAGCATTTGATCTGCTGCAGAGCTAACTGTACCAGCAAGCTGTGAAGTTCACAGAGAAGTAAAAGTGGTAGGTACAAGATACAGTCCCTCTCTTTATGTAGGCAGTTTTTACTAATGCATTTATTAAGCCTAGAATTATTAGAAATATTGCAGTGCTTTCTTAACAGGTTTCCAGAGTGGAAAAAATCAAGTTTTCCAGTGCCCAGATTTATAACTAAGCCCTCACAGAATCACCTTTCCCTGATTCTGCAATGAGTCTGGCTGCCCTTGTGTTCAGCCTGGCTGAAATGGATCAAATTAAATGAGATTTAAAGATTTGTGCTTTTATGCTCTAACAGTTTTAGGGGTAGCAGATTAGTCTGAGTATATAATGTGCACTTTCATTCTGCTGATGCATCTTTTAGAAGTGTGGAAAGAGAAAGTCTAACTAATCCAAACTCTACTAGTCAAATTGTGTAAGGGGCTTCCTATCCTGAGGGGGGAAATGGTGCAGTAGCTAATATCAAAGACCATTATGGGTATGGTTGGCAGGTTTTACTGAGAAGAGTCTTGGTGAATGCACCTGAACTCAGTTTTCTTATACCAGCCAGAGCTATGACACAGTGTTTATTCTGGGGCTACAAAATACTACATTTTCCAGGCTGGGCTTTCTGTGGAGGTTGTGGAGGCTGTCCACGAAGGAGCTAAAGAAAGTAGCTTACCTCCTTGCCAGCTTGGCTGCATCTGCTGCAGCACTTCCGTTGACTAGAAGGGACACGTTAGATATCGCACCGGCCAGGAAACAGTCCACGATGCCTTGGTTTCTCCGAGGACAATAGCCAAAGTCATCTCCAGTTACTATTAGCTTCACCTGAAGCATTCTTAGATGTCATCCCTAGCAAAAACGTAAATGAGGTTAAATGGCAACACTCCGCAGTCCGCAGATCACAGGCACACGGGAAAAAGACAGGC